TTGTTGGCTCAGCATTACGTGTGAAAGCTACCACAGATTCTTAACGTTGACCCGGTGCCAGGGTGGAACACTTAGCCTGTTTTTGCTTCATTAGTACCTGAACTTCCACTTTCAGTCGATAACTTTCCAGTACAGAGGAGAGTGCTCTACCAGCTTTGTTTGGCTGCCAAATAAGTGTCATTGGCCTTCTTAGCCATAAATGTCTTGTGTGTGTTTTCTTCCAGGCAGTTAATCTTCAGCAATGTCTTTCATTTTTGAATGGATCTACAATGGCTTCAGCAGTGTGCTGCAATTCCTAGGTAATTTTGCAAGCCTGGGTTACATGGGTTTACCTAAGTAATTTTGAATCTTGTTAAGCTGTTGCAGATGCCAAACAGACTCTCAGACTGAATTAAGCAAGAGTTTAAATTAATTTACTAACTTACTGATACAGCTAGAACACATTTTTAAGGGCTAAGCAGGCTTGAGTCCATCGGTTTTAAGGTGAGCAACTCAATCTCACTGAAAGTTAGTTTGCAATCCCTCTTGCAGACATGCTTACTAAACTTACAGTATTCACTGGAATATAAAACAACTCTGATTATAAGATGACTCTCCCAATAATTAGATATTATACCTAAAAAATTATAAGAAAATTATAAATTTTCCAGGTATAGAACCAAATTATTAGAAGTTTGTCTTGAAGTTGTTCCCTTCCCACTGCTACAGTAGAAGAAATAAATCTGGGGTGGTAGCCCCCTTGCTCTGTGCCTTCTTCCCAACTTCTCCCTGCAGTCCTTAACACCCCCCCATTCCTTACTGTCATATCCTGTTCTCCCTGAGTACATAGAAGTGAGAAGCAATTTTGAAAACTGACCTTGAAATTAAACATAGGTATAGGAATTTGCATATAGTACCCACAGAGTTAGTTCAGTCAGAACTGATGCATCTCATTTTCTAAACTGCTGCAAGTTTTAGCACAGGTACTCCAGAAACACTCTTGAGCAGCATTTTGTTACCTGCTTATATGTAGTACAAGCTATATATGACATTAGTCTAAAGACAAGAAGCTCATGGCTTACTATGTAGCTCATTGGGCTGGGCCCCACCACTGTCTACAGCATTTCAAGCCATAGTGATCCCACAATTCAGCAGTGCTCAGTGTGGGGGGGGGTTGGGGGGGGTGACCTAGCAGCTCATCTGGGAGGTGTGGGATGGAGCAGGGCTCATCCAGGGGGCAGGAAGAGGTTCCTGCTGCTGCCACATGGCTGGTCCATCAGCTCCTGCTGCTGCTGCTGTCACTTGTCCAGGAGGGCACAAGGGGAAGTGTACTCCCAGATCTGCACCAGGCTGGGGCCAGGGCTATTTCCCATGTACCCTGGCCGCGAGGTGGGTGCCAGCGCCACTGGGAGCAGGGGACTACGAGGGCATTAGGGTGAATTTCGGGATGGCTGCATTCCCCCTCTGTAGACCCCTCCCAGCGACACCACACCCCTCCCAGCCCAGGCTTTGCTGGGAACTGCCCTGGCTCCAGTCCGCCCCACACAGATCTGGGGCCTATTCCCAGTGGAGCCTGGCTCAGCCACTGCCTTGGCTCCGACCCCCTGCCTTCCTGCCTGCCTCCTGGCAAGGCCTTGATCTGTGCCCTTGCATGCACCCCCTCACCCCACAACTTACCAGCTGGAGGTAGCTCTCCATGCTGCAGGCTGTGTCTTTGCTGACTACGTGCTGTGCTGCGGCTGTGCACAACGCGGGTAGTTGTCGGCCCAATTATCAGCCTCTTAAGGCCGATATCCAATATAGATAATTTTCTTTATATCAGTACCAATCGGATATTGGACCAATGTATCGGTGCACCTCTAAAATATGGTATTACAGTCGGTACGTTTGTATTCTCATTTAAAAGTTTTTTGTAGTAGGAGAAGGCGAGGTTATAATTAGCTTAAAATGTGTACAAATTATGATATTTGTTTTCCTTATTTGGGCATGCACTGCTTCATTCTGTACTATTTTACTGCAAATTGTATCAAATTACTGCAGTTTGCCTTTCCCTGCTACCTCTAAAAATTGAGTCTAATCTTCCACATCCATATTGAGTAGCTATCTGAATTCTTATCATCAGGAAAAATGAAGGTGCAGATGTGTTATATAAACACAGGCCAGACAGGGGTGGGGGTGGGCCATGCCTGCACCATACTACCCAGATGAGCTCTGTTGCATGTGCTCCCTGGGTCCTCTGCCTCCCATCCCCCGGCTCCTGGGACTTGGCACACAGGCAGCACCTCACACACACAGACGCACATGCACATGCACACACGTACAATATACAAGAGTAAGATTTAATTTTGAGCAGTTATGCAATTGCCTATATACATTACTCAAAAAATATTTTTTGAAATACAATGTTAACTGCTATAGTAGATGTTTGATTTTTTAGTATATGATTTGTTAAAATGATATCTTCTGAAAAGTTTAATATGTGCAGCCCTTGACAGCTCCAAAACTCAGTAAGCAGCCCACCAGCCAAAGTACTTGCCCACCCCTGTTTTAGACTCTACTGTCCAGTTTTTTGTTTTGCTTGGGTTGCCTAACTCCTTGGGACCAAGATGTAAGCTGATTGCTAGTTGATCAGAGTTGTCAGTTATCTTAAGACCATGTCAGAGGCATCAAATCAATGGTGAGTCGGTCCCCATAAAACCTAGACTTTTACAGCTTTTGTTAATAAAGTTCAGAATACTTTACGGTGGAAGTAAGATGTCATGTTCTCCCCACCTTCCCCAAGGTATTAATGATGGGTAATCCCCTGCATAAAGCACCTTGTGTATCAAAATGTATAAATTTGTTAATATTTTCCATGTATTGAATTTAAATATTGGAGGGCCATCTTGAATCTTTCTTCCCCCTTCACCTTCACTACAGCAGGGAAAGTAATGGCTAGGGGAGGAGGTGGGCCCCCTTGACTTCTGCTCCACCCACTCCTCTGCTCCTTCTCCCCCTCCCCCCACCATACACTGCTTGGGGGCCTGCTCCTTCCTAGAGCACAGCACAGAAGCCCAGCCCTTGCCTGGCCTTGCGGCAGTGTTGGTGCTGCTGATTGGCTGGGCAGGGGAAGGACCCTGACAGTAAGGGGGAGAGATGGGTGTGCAGTGGGAAGCAGAAGCTGTAGAGGGGAGGTTAGGAGGCTGCTGTGGGTCTGCTTCTGGCCTTGACCCCAGGTCAGGGCCAGAATTGGAGCCAAAGCAGCTGCCTGCTCCTCCCCCTCTACTTTGTATGTGAATATAAAGCAAGGTGCTTTTTCCCCATTCTGATCAGGGAAGGGGGACGTCTTATATTTCAGTAAATATAGTAGGTTTTAATGGAGCAAAAGAACTTGCCAAAAGCTAAGTCACCTTCTGGCCCTAATTTCAGCACTGTGGTAATAGACTGTTTTACTAGGACTGTCCTGCCAGCACCATCCCACCAAGCAAAAGATTCTGTAGTGAGATCCCAACAGGGATATCTGGGGAGTGGCAAGCCAGTGTTGCCAACCAATAGAGTGCTCTAGTCACTACTGTACCAGGTTTTGCTATGCATAGCGTGCCTACATAAGGGGTCGTGTTAATATTGATGAGTCCCTTCCCTGTGAAATCTAAGAAGTCACCTGTTCCACTCAGCCACAGTGGGATTTTCTAATTCTTACATGGTAGCCAGGGCTTCCTGATAGTCAAGCCCTCTTCTTAAATGGTGCTGGCAGTATTGGTCTCTGCAGATCTGAAGTCCCACTAAATCAGTTCACGTTTGGATGACTTATCTTCACAAAGTAGGATGTTTTTGTTTGTTTCATTTTTTTAATGAAAGGTTAGGATCTACAGAAACTGATGGAACTATCTATGTTCACATCACTTCATTTTGTTTCACATTCTTCCCTAGGTAAGCCAAGTCACAGTGCTATCTTCTGCTAAATAATGGTATCATAATTTCACTTTTAAGTGTCTATCTTGGATGGCAGATTAATTTTAACCCATTACACTTAAGAATTTTTTTAACTGGATCTAGTTAAGTGTAGATGTGATGTAGCATCACTCTTCTCAGGCTGTCATCTCTTTCATAGGTTTGTTGGGGTTTTTTGGGGGAGGGTTGTTTTTTGAGAGAGTACATTCTTTATAGAAATGTGTTTAAGTTCATGGTGAGGGGGAAAAGTCAGCTCATAGAAAATGTCTAGTGTAGTAGCTCTATTTTGTACAGTCCTGCCATAACCATAGCATCAGTTGTATAGCTCATGCTCTACGCTTGGAACATTTTGGAATACAGTATTTTACAATATTATTCTTAGGAGTTGGTGGATTGTGTTGTTATTGGTTGGCATATAATACAGCCATATGGATCACACTTCTATCTGAAACAAAACAAAAATCTGATTTTTCTACCTTTCCTTCCCTCACGCCATACAGGATTGTACAAGAAATCTGGAAAACTAGTGTTTTTAGGATTGGATAATGCAGGAAAAACCACTCTTCTGCACATGCTTAAGGATGACAGATTGGGTCAGCATGTCCCTACACTACATCCAAGTGAGTTTACCTAGTGATCTAGTTTAACTGGGTCCATTGTGTACAGGTTTTGGGGGTTTTTTTCCCATCTTCTTCTAAATGTTTTGTACAAGGAAATACTGACTTGTAGTCTTGAAAGATGCCTCAGTCTTGTGCTTATAATGTAGAAAGACTTAGACTTTTAAAACTGACCTGTGGGAATTGAGGTCATCAGTAATTCTTTGGGTAGTAGATTACTTATACATTCTGTATCTGATCTTTTGCATGCACATTAAAAAAGGTGGGGGTGCTTATAGCTGCACCTGAGCTAAATGAAGATGTCTTTTTCTTAGCATCAGAAGAGCTGACGATTGCTGGAATGACTTTCACGACTTTTGATCTGGGTGGGCATGAACAAGGTAAGAATATATTTGGCATGGGTGACAAAAGAAGCAAAAGTGTTTCGTGATGACTTGTCTGAGTGACTTAAAGTTTAGTCTAGACAGATCAGCTTTTTTAATTTATTTTTTTAATCTCAATTCCAGCATTTAGAATTGTACATGTCCTTGATATGCAAAGTTAATTCTTTATTTTTCTACAGTTCCATTTACTGTATCAGGTACATCTTAGTTTACAGTTCTGGCAGCTTGCAAAAAGAAAAAAACACTTTCAGTCGGTTCTCTTTTTTCTTAAATCTCACCTTTTACCATCCTTGTTCATGGAACTAGACTATTGCAATCTGAAGGTGGTTGCAATGGACTTTAATCATGGACCTTACTCAGTTTCTTTAGAATGCCTAAAGATGATCTGAAAAGTTTTTTTTCTGCTTTTTTCCTTAATCTTAATGCCAGGTCTGGACTGTCTGCTGTTGTGCAGGGTCTTCTCTGGGTCCTTTGTGTTGATGGAACTTATGTCTCAATTGAAAGAATGAGATGCTTAATTAAAATTTCTCTCCAGCTGCCTTCCTGCCCTTCAGGTGGGGGGCTGGACTCGATGATCTTCCGAGGTCCCTTCCAGCCCTAATGTCTATGAAATCTATGAAAATGGCAGTCACTGAAATCAAACAGGCTTTTAGTAGTGCTTGTTAAACTAAAAATCCCTTCCTTCTTAGTTGTTCAGCACTTTTTCTAAACCCTTTAAACATCATTATAGCCAACATTCCAAATTAGACTAGCGTTGAACTGTAATGCTTAGAGAAGCTTTCTAGGTATTGTGCCTCTTGATTCAGAGGCATAAATTATAAGGGCTAGGTATAAGAACCTGGATAGAATAAATTTACATAAAATAGTTAACTGCTGCTCTGGGTCATTGACAGTTGAGTCTGTGAAAGCTTTTGCCTCTCTGGACCAGTTAGTCTCCAGGGCGCTACCCTATCCTGCTTTCTGCACTCTTAGAACAGTGAGTATGAGGCAAAAATCTCCTTACATTAGAAAATGAAAGGGAAAGGTAGAATTGACACTTCTCCCATGCAGCCTTGCAGCTTTGATTTGTTCTGTTCATCTGAAACTTTTAAACTACCTCTTTGAATTGTGGAGAAATGATTCCTGTTGTTTCTTCTGGGTGTAGGTATTGAATCTCTTCAAAATAGCATTTTCACAGGGATGTTTGTCCTTTTCTATTCTAGCTCGTCGGGTTTGGAAGAATTACTTGCCAGCAATTAATGGTATTGTCTTTCTGGTGGACTGTGCGGATCATTCACGTCTCATGGAGTCCAAAGTTGAGCTTAATGTAAATCTTCCATTTCATAGTTGGTTTTTTTTGGTCCTTCCCCCTTATGTCTGAGCCACTGATGGTACAATTCCTCTTCCCCTTCTTTGGGCTGGACCTTAGTGTACAACAAGGTCTAGGCCTCAAATCTACATTCTTTTCCCTCCCTTAAAATTTTGGCTTGCATTTTCTCAGGTTCATCCTGATTTCCTAATATGTAGGTGTTTTTGCAGTAGGTAACTAAACCAGTAAGGTGTTGATAGATGAGCTATTGGAGAGTCACAGGAAGATGTTGCATTTCTTATTATGTTTGCATGATAAATATTTTTTTTAAATGACTAAATCTTTATACATTGCAAGGGGCTCTAGTCAGCTATTTTTAGAATGTCCTGAGGATTTTTAAATAATCCACACATTTTAGATGATGGCTGTCTTGAAGAGGCTGTTATGGTGACATTTCTCTTACAAGAGGAGTTTTCTTTAAAGTAGCATAATTCAACTGACAACAGTTTATGACCATCTTCTGACATTAGAGCAGAGAAATACATTTTTATAGATAACTTTTTTTAATCTGTGAGGCTAACACTTCTGTCTTTCCTACAGGCACTAATGACAGATGAAACGATATCAAATGTGCCAATCCTTATCTTGGGTAATAAAATTGACAGACCAGAGGCCATCAGTGAGGAGAGACTGCGGGAGATCTTTGGGCTTTATGGACAGACCACGGGAAAGGTAAAGAAGAGCTTGAGCTGTTAGTAAAACTTGGGTTCTATATTACAGAATGAAAGCTTCTTTAAAAAATTCAGCAGGAGTGCAAATCAAGCATTGGTGACCAGATTACTACTTCAAATAACATCAGGACAGGCGCTAAAACAATAATGCTAGTGGGAATTCTAGGCAGCTAAGACTTGCTAAATGTAGAGAGTGGGTATTTGAGATTACAGTAATGTTTCAGTTTGGAAGCTTTTTTTAAACTGTTCATCCAACTTAAATGAAGGGTACAAGTATTTAATTAAGAGCTTTTATGCAGTTATGAACAGCAGTGTTGAAAGGTAACTTATTACAAATGCTTAAACATATAGGGCAGAAAACTGCATCCAGTTCCTGTAGAATGTGCACAGCCTATATACTCTATGTACTGCAGTTTTAAAGCACCAGTTTATATTCTCTTTATAGAGAAATGCTTGCACCAATTTATCTCCTTTAAGGTTTTTGCTTAAGTGGTCCTGTTGCTCAACTGCCAGAGTTTTAGCTCTCTGCATTTGGGCAGCTAGGTGTCTAGATTGATATCTTTGCTATTAATATCGGCACTTATAGGACCTTCTAAAGGGTGGGCAGTTTATTTTGGCTGGTGGGTTATTAAAGGAGGTTCAGTGAGCTGTTGCAGGCCAAGGCGGGGGTAAGCAGGATTGTGTTTTATCTAGCCTCGGGTCTTTCTGCCTCGCACCCACTGCCAGGGGTGCCAGATGGAGTGGGCAGGCATGCAGGCAGGGTCTCTGGGATCCCCACAGGCAGGGTGCACATGGCTGGGCAGATGAGACGGGCAGCAGCAAGGTGGGGATGGGGATTGCAGGACAGTGACAGGGTAGGGCTGCAGTCCACTCCCCACTGGACCCTGCAATGAGTGGTGGTTCCATGGGCAGGAATGTGCGGGAAGTGGATCACGACTGGGCCGTGGACCATACTGTCACTGCCCCTGCCCCAAGATCCCAGCCCTGTCTATTTTGCTCCTAGACACTGCTCCATGCTCACCCACAGCCCCATCCTATGTGCCTAGCAGAGTGTGCTCTCCACAGGGCTCCCAGGCAGGTCCCCATGGAGACCCTGCCCTCCTACTTAGTCTGGCACCTCTTCGTGGTAGGTTGAGGTTGGCACCTGTGAATTTAGTGCTTGAATTCTGACTACTTTATCTTGATTTCAGGGTAATGTGCCACTGAAAGACCTGAATACACGTCCCATGGAAGTGTTCATGTGCAGCGTGCTGAAAAGACAAGGTTATGGTGAAGGCTTTCGTTGGCTATCTCAGTACATTGACTGATAAATGGACAGACATAGAGTCTTACTCCTCTGGACTGATCCTGTTCACAGCTTCCTATGGACTTTTCTATTAGAACATGGAAGGTTTTCCAACCACATACTGGCATTGACCAAGAGACTCCTGGTTTTCAGCTATCCTATTGCACAGTGGTGACACAACTCTTTTCTTTTTTTCTTTTTTCTTCCCCCACATGACTGGGAGAGAACACAGTCTGCACACAGGTGCAAATTGTCCCTTTCAGTTGCCATTGTTTCCCATGGAAACGATGGCTTTCAGTTACAATGGGGCTGGGGTGCAAAATTCAGCACACTGCACTGTAGCAGCTGAAAAAGAACACGTCTCACCACTGTGGCTAATTGACTTAATAAGAAAGCAATTCTATTTTTTAAAGAAAGTGTTAATGTAAGCAGTGTCCCTTCTAACTTTTTAATTTAACATTTGTCGTATTTGGTCCAGAGTCTGTTAGGGTTTTTTAAAACAAATTTAATGGTATTAGATATTTCCCAAATTACTGAACAAAGTATCATGATATGGAAGTCCTCAATAAACATAGATTTGGGCTTAACTGATCTGTAGGATGGTTGTGCTGTGTCACATTGTCTGATCGTAAAGAGGGTGCTGTTGACTGATTTGTGCAATCAAGCTTTTTTTTTGCTTTTTTTTCCCAAATTCACAGGGATTTTATTTGTGGGGGTGGGGGGAGGGAAAGGGCACACAAGCACACCTGTTTTTGTTGCTGCCTCATGTTTAGGTGTTTTGAATTAAATTACCAACCTCTGGTCCTTAAAGTGATGACCCATCAGCAGTCTTTCTACTGTGGCAGGTTCTGTTTACTGGGCTCACTCTACAATGTGGAATGTTGCAGGGTTGCAGTGTACTATAACAGTAAAAATCATGAGGTGGTTGTGTGGGGTTATTGTAGCATGAAAAGTGTTCAACACTTGCATATCTTAAGTTTATTAATGTAGACTAAACCAGTTTATTTTATACTTGGCAGATTTTGTCTAAAGTTTCATTGCTGTCTAGAGCGCCTCTTTTTCAGTTAAATAAAGACATGCCTTTCTCTTCGAGGGTTGGTGATCCTTAGTTTAAACTGATCAAAGCTCTAGTAACTGGCAAGCACCCTTTATTAGGGGAAGGCTCTGAACTCTGATATGTTGTAGTGAAAGGTGTCTGAGAGAATCTTGTAAAAACTTGTCTACCATATGCCTCCCTCACCCTTCCCTAGCCCACTTATTGGTTCTATCATGAACTGCTACAAATGGAAATGAGAATCATCCCAGCTATGTGTGTTCTATACTATCAAAACGTGCTCTCATTCATTCTGTTTACTGTGGGGATTATACTGCTGTAAGGTGGGAAATAGATTCAACTCTAAGCTGACCTAGCACTTTATTCCCTTCACAAACATTTGTTATTCCTAGTAAGGGGAAGTGAAACACCCTTTTAAAAATATATTCAGTAATGTATTTCCCAGCCTTTCTGAGAGTTGTCACTTCTGCAAGTGGTTTTACCAAATGTTTAAGATCATCCACTTGAAAAAGTAAGACTCCTACCGTGAACTAGTTTTGTGTGCTCAACCCAGCTTGTGACACTTGAATTTTTTTGTTATGATTAGCATTGCCATCCATTCTCTACAGAAGCACAACTGAAAAGCAGCCTGCAATAACGGGTTAAAGTGTAGTGTTGGGTACAAGTCAGTTTTTGCAATCAGAAATGGGTTAATGTGCTGCAATAATGGTGTTTACTCTTTTTATTCTGGCCTAGAGTCTAACACTGTTACTTATTTAGAAATCTTTTATCCTTCACATTTCACTAAGTTGAACTGAGCCTTCTGTGGGGCAAAATTTGAATGGATGGCTGATTGTTCCCCCCCGCCCCCTTTCAGTAGCAGAAATCTGACTCTGACTCACCCTGGGATATATAAAGAGCCTGCCTGCCTCCAGAATTTCAGTCATTTTATGTTCTGATCACCTGCAGTGTATTCCCGTTGGAGTTTGTATGCAAGCCAAGGTCACAGAAGTGGTCTCTGCTGGGTCTTTTGTCACTTCAAAATGTGTATAAGGGTTCTAAGAGCATCTGTGGAGCCAAGATTGTTTGTGGATTTAGTACAAAGATGCTGCTGTGAACCTGACCTTCATCATAGTGGTTCCAGTTACCAGCTGAAGAAGACTGCCAATCTCTTGCTCAGTCAGAAACACTACAGTATTACATTTAGATTCCTTAGGACAGTTTGCTGTGACTCGCAGTGCATCAGGGTGGTAGGTCTCCTAATTCCTGTTAATAAACAGACAGCCCAGTAGTTCCAATTATCTAAATGTACTATGGCTCTGCACTTGTAGTGTCTAGAAAGCTGGTGCCCTGACATAGCACATCCTTCTGTGAAGGTGGTGTCTCCACCACTGGAGAAAGCGAAAACAGTAGTAAATAACTCTGTTCTTTTATTCTGTACACCTGTAGGGTACATTCCCTATATACAAATACTTGCTAAAATGTTTTGCTGTAAAGTTTTAATATATACTTCAGGAACTGGGGTACAGATAAGTTATAGTAAACCTAGGTAACTCTTAAGTCTGTCATAGAAAAGTGCTTGCTTTAATTTCCAGAAATGGGAGAACTATACATATTTTTGCAAAAAATCATCTGTATCCAAAGCATTTTAATAAAATTTTATTAAAAAAATCAGTCCAGACTTGGTGAATGGGTTCTGGTATGTTGTATACAAGTAGCAGAAGGAGACTGGATGTGATAGTATAAAATTGGATTTGGAAGCATGGGGAACAAGCTGTAAGGCTTAAATGGAAGCATGCAAAAGCATGCGATTTCAAAAGTTAAACAATACATGAGGTGTATGCAAAAATTGCTTGAGGAACAGGTGGCTCTGTAGCTTATTTTTATCAGTAGAAGTAGAGCAAATCATGTATGCAAATACCTTGGTTTCAGATATAGAAAGGATGTATCTAGAATGAAGGTAGAAACAGTGCTGTGCAGAATGCAAAAAGCCTCTGAAGTGTAAAATTGAATTTGGACAGAAGGTACTGTGTGTACATCAAATTCAGCTGGAAATAATGCTTTGAAATGTGTACAAGAGAAAAATGGTAAAAGAGTGGGTGCCATGTAGGGACAGTTCCCCCAGTTCAAGTGGCTTGAAAACATACAGGGAGTGGGGGATGCATGGGGACCTAGTAAGAATGAAGCTTAGAATGAGAAATGAAAACAGAATGAAGTTGAATCTAAGATGGAGAGATCTGGACTGAAGCTACTGAACTGACTCCAATATACCTTAAAAACAATGCAAGAGTGAGAACTGTGCAGGAAGCTTATGTAGTATTAGCCTGTGTGCGCATGAGTCTGTGGAAGAGAAACTGCACTTACAAAATTTCAGAAATATGCTGAAGTGTAAAGTCTTTTGAAGAAGACTGTTAAAAGTGCAAGTGATAGAAATAAATTGGATGGGGGGGGGTGATGGCTGCTGTAGCTCCTTTCCAGTGTAGGGCTCTGATGGTACATCTTGTGCTTGACATACTGTTGCTTTTTTTTCTTTGTGAGGAGGTTGTTTTTGTATTTGGTTGGGGTTTTCTTGTGTGTGTGTTTGTTTTGGGGGGGGGGTTGGGTGTTTTGGGGTTTTTTAAGACTTGCGTAGTGGGACTTTATTTTCTTTCTGAGGCTATTTAATTACAGGTAGCTCTATCCTTGGCATGTGGATTTTTCTTGAAGTATTTGTTTTTGTAGACTCATGCTAATGTATTTCACTTTCTCCCTATCTAGATGAGCCTCCAAGAGCAGAGGTTTAGGCAGGAAAAAATCCCTTCTGAAGAGGAAGAAAGCTTGGTCCTAGTCCTGATAGTCTTGTTAACCTTTGGTTTGATTTGGCAAACTTTTAGGTAAAGCACAGCATTCATACTTTCTGTTTCCACTTGTGTTGAAAACTTGAGCTCAACTTATTGAATAACCTTAAGTCTCTGGGGTTTCTGGTTTCCCGCTATGCATGGCTTTTGTCCGTCATGCAGCAGCATTCAGCTCTGTTCATGGTCTAGTACAAGGTACTTTTACATACAGAAAATGCAGGTGACCTAGTAGTTTGTATTGAAGAGAGGTGGCTGGTTGGCTCAGTCCCTTTTCTCTTGGTCCTAGATTATAACCTGGTTTCATATTTGACTGCTGCTGGGGGTGGAATTGCCGTGTTTGGTGTTTAGGATCAAACCTCACTTAGCTGAAAGAGGGTGAGTGGTACGAAACAGTGTCTGTACCAGCCAGTTGTCCGGGGAAAAATTAGAAGCTAAAAGCTTTCAGAAATGTACTGGGCTTAAACGCCGTGTGGACTTGTTTTGAAGACGGGCCAGGCACAGGCCACCAGGATCGGTATTGTGCTTTTTTTCTAAATGGGTACCATAGCTCAGCCCCTTCCCGAGCCCTCGGGGGCTTTTAAAGGCCCGGGCCCTACTCTGGGTCCCGCCCGCGGCGCCAGGGGCTCGTCCCCGGGGCCGGGCTCGCAGGTCCCCGCGGACTCCACCGAGCCTGCCACGTCGGCTCCCTCCCTCAGGGGGCGGGGCTTCCCGGGGCTCCTCCCGCGCAGCCGCTAGACAGGAACACTCCTCCCCCTTCGCAGGGCGCCGACACTTTCGCCTCCCGTCCCCCCCCCCACCACGTGGCTGTGCTGGCCCCGCCCCCAAAGCGCGGAACCAGCTGATGCACCAGGCTTCGGTTCTCTCTCACCTGCAACCCAGGGCCCC